TCCTCTTCCCCTCAGTACTCTCCCGCCTATAGTAGGGTTCCACATTTTGCCGTAATGTCTCACAGAACTCACAAACTGCCAAGGAAATGGCTCATGTGGTGGTGGAGGCTGAGAGGTTGGCAAGTCCCAAATCTGTGAGTTGGTCTGGAGGACTGTCCTCCCTCTCATGGTTGCAGGGGCTGGCGAACCCAAATTGGTGGGTCAGATGACCAGCTGCTGTCTCAAGTCCAGGGCTGAGATGATGATGAACCAAATGCAGGACCACAGCAAGAGAGTGAACTTTCCCAGAACATTCATATATATACACCCTCAAAGAAACTAAGAGTGGTAACTTGAGTCACAACCTCCAGCAAGATACATCCCACCCTAAACAGACATAGAGACTAAGATTTACAATACATCCTGAAATGGAGGACTATGGCTAGAATGGCCATGCAATTCACTGCACTGCAGCAATTAACAACAATAGTTTTAATTGCTTTCAAATAGCTATATGAATGTATAACCATGTTTGAAATTTTGCACTTCAATTCAAGCTAAAGTGGGAAAAAATAAACAAACTCGAATAATTTCTTTTAGAGGGATCAGCACAAGGTCAGCCCCTATGAGGCAGAGGTTAAAGATGTCCCAAATAGCCAGTTTTTCCAAACTGTGCTGTACTACTCCATCACCTCTAACATCAACCGCTCCTCCTCCCACCAGTGCTCTCCATACCTTAGGGTTTCATAATTTGCTGTACCATCTCACAGAACTCACAAACCACCAAGGAAATGGCTCCTGTGGCTGTAGGCTGCTAAGTCCCAAATCTGTGGGTCAGGTATCAGTCTGGAGGATTCTCTTCACTCATTTAGTTGCAGAGACCGACAAACTCAAATCAGCAAGTCAGATGATGGGCTGCTGTCTCACAAGGCTGTGGAAGGTGGTGAATCAGGTCAGATGGTGTTGAACCTGATGCAGGGTCCAGAGCAAGAAAGAACTTTGCCAGAGCATTCACATATATTGGCTACAGACCATCCCCTCAAGGAAACTAAGGGTGGTGACTTGAGTCACACCCTCTTAGCATACTGGACAACTCACTCCAAAATGGGACGATAACCACAGGTGCAGAGGCCAGCATTTACATCACAAAATGTAGAACTATCGCTAAAAGGGCCTTATTAAGTAATTCATTGCACAAAGAAAAAAACTCCTTCTTGTCCAAGTGTTCTGAATCTCTGGAAAAGAAGTCCTTTGCTAGTTTTTACCAGGTTTATTTAATTAAAATCTTACAATGCTAATTTTATTTTTTACAAAAAAAGTGAGACTTTTTTTCCCACCATAATATTCCACCAAGCTCCTTTTTCTCCCCTTGCAATTTCCAAACACTGAGAAATCACTCATATACTCAACTCAGTGGAAAGGGATTGCAAGACAATATCTAAATAGCATTACACTCACTCACTGCCATGAGTAACTCATAGTGCTGGATCTGACTCATAGTGACTCCTCCTTGGGTTTCCGAGGCAACTATGGAAGTAGATTGCCCAATCTTTCTTCCGAGGAGTGGCTGGTGGGGTTTGAACCACCAGCCTTCTGGCCAGCAGTCAAGTACCTTAGGCACTACGACTAAATAGCATTATAGATGTAAGCAATATTCTACACCATGAATGAGATGGAAAGTGCATATTCATTTCTACATGGAAAGATCAAAATGGCTATTTACTTAATCTGAATCAGAAATCATTGTTTCTTGAATTTTTTATGGCAACTCAACATTTCAGGTAATCACATAAGGTATTTTATAGCACTAATTTACTCAGTAGGCATTAATCATCATAATGTCACAAAATAAAACAATAGTGATAATAACCATTACCATTACCACCAAAGAAAACAACTCCAAATTTTTCCAGTGCTAAAAACTCACTATGAACTGTTATCCTAAATGCTCATGGTTTAATGCTTGTTTCAAAACAACTTAAACCAAAGCACAGCTTTGCTTACAAATATATCTAAATAGGGTAATCAGAGGCTCTTTCCTCTCATGACCTGTTCATCATTCTCTCATTTAATTTCAACATAAAACTCAGAATTATAGCTAAAAAAATCAATAAAGATACTGAAGAAATTAGTGCTTTAAGAATTTTTCACAAAACCAATTACTTCCAAATAAACTTTATTTTGAAAAGAATACCATAACATGTGACACATCTAGTCAAATTACACACATGTGGAAGTTACCATGCATTTCCGATTCTTCCCACGAATGGAAAAGAACAAAGGTGCAGCTAAACTAAAATGGCAGATAATTTTAAAACAATCATAGCTATTTATCTGTTTTCATTTCACATGTACATCTAAATATTAAATATGGAAATGACTAAAATTTCATAAGATAAAGAAATATGCTGCCTGATTAATCAAAATTCTTTCTACTTTCTCTACCATGGATAGCATCATCAGTAATGTTTAAAGTAACTAGCACCATACGATAAATGATTTTCCTTCCTCCTGTAAGACAGTATAAGGCTTTCCGTATTGCAGCTTATAACTCCTCCAGGTCCAGGAAAACATCACTGCTGACATGATATATGAGTTTTCAAGTGGAGTTGATTTTGTCAGGGCAAGGCATTCTAGTATGTTCTTCCCAAGGACTTTGTAATTTAGTGACAAATATGTCAATGTATAATCTGTGAAAGTAGTCTGTATGTGATGCAATAATTAACCATACTTCTTTAAAAAGAAAACAAAAAACCTATAGGTAAATAGAGTGAAAGGAATAAGACACACACCTAGAACCTCTCTCACCACACAGGTTTAGGTGGCAAGTCAGTGCTAACTGCAAGATTATTACATAAAACCAGAGTCACTCTTGGATCATGAGGAGAATTGTAAAGTGCCAGAGATAGCCAGTAAACCATCTTCATAGGGTGAGGACCTAGAGACAACAGATCTGGCTTCTCAAAGAACAAATTAAAAAAAAAAAATTAGGTCCAAAGATTCCAAGAAAATTCTCACTTTGTCAATATTAGAGGGCAGCAGAAAGACATTGAACTTGGAGACTAAAAACTGGTTCTTCTGGTTAGCTGTTGGCCAAGGAACCGACCTCTTTGAATGTCTATTTCTTCACCTATAAAACTGGTACAGTAAGAATCACACTAATTTCAAAGACTTCAGAGCAATAATAATCAATGACAACAATGCACTTGATACCGCTTTATAAACTATGAAAGACTTTTCTTACTAAATGGATTTTTGGTCACATTTAAAAAGTATTAAGGATAAATGCCAACTTAAGATAACATAAAATCATTAGTCTTTTACCCACGTTATACCTCTATTCAATAGTAACTGGTATAGACTGGCATCATTTTTTTTCTCAGACCAGCAAACCTGGTCCCCCCCCCTTTTTTTTTTCCAAATGATTTTGAGTTTTGTTGCACATTGTTCTCCCTCTCTATCCAGGATCTCCTACATAGACCCCCCCCCTTTTTTTTTTCAAAATGATTTTGAGTTTTGTTGCACATTGTTCTCCCTCTCTATCCAGGATCTCCTACATAGATTCCCCCCCTCGAGTGGTTGACAGTGGTAGCCAGGCACCATCTAGTTCTTCTGGTCTCATAGTTGTCTAGGCTACATGCAGATCGCATGGTGTTATCAGTCGCCAGGACTAATTCTTTCCATGAATCTTTGGTTTTCTTCATTCTTCTTTGCTCTCGATGAGGAGAGACCCATCGTTGCATCTAGATGGCTGCTTGCAAGCTTTTAAGATCCCAGTCACTACTCGCCAAAGTAGGAGGTGGAACAATGTGGCATCATTTTTGATGAGGCAGAAATGAGAAAAATGCTACGGCAAGATCTCCATTTGCCAGTATAGACATAATTCTAGAAAGTTAAATAGCTGAGAGCCTAGAAACCTCACCTCCTTTGTTTTCATAATGGCAATTTTAGCCTAAAATACTTGCTTCAGCATATTCATTTTGTCAGTGTGAACAAAATTAAGTCTTTATTGGCTTACTAATTTTCTTATGCTACAGTGCTATTATAACATAACACACTAGCTCTAGATTTTATTCATCAAAGAACCAAAAGTTCTACCAACCTTAAAAACAGTGAATAAATAAAATTCTCTACCTTGTCTACAATATTTTGACTCATTTTACTACAAAGAAACAAACACATCAATAATTTGTCTTATTTTATCAGGATAGGTCATTAGAACTTTATCTAGCCACTTAAGTCCTAGGCAGAATGTTTGAATGTATACATATTTATAAGTTATTACCTTTGCTACCCACTTCAGCATTGCACATCTTCTCAGTAAAGCTATAACTGTTAACAAGTATGGTCCAACAGTCATTTTCCTCAAGAAGAGACTCAAAGGCAATTGAAGACAAATTATTTCATTATAACATGAAAATATTAAGCCTTGGGCTATTGCAAAAGGCTTTTCAAATATGTCGGTATATAATTTGGAGAAAATAGAAGGAAGGTGAGATACAGGGGGCTGACATGGTTTCATGTTATGGCATGTTCCTCGTTCTAATATTTTAAAATGACTAGTAAGTAAATAAACCAGAAGCCTTCCTATGTGAAAGTGGAAAATGGTCCAGATATCTTCTTCAAAGACAAAGTAATTTTTTCTTCCCAGTAATTCACCAGAAAGAAATGGGCACTTAGGAACCTTAAAACCAAACAAAACCAAACTCACTGCCGTGGAGTCAGATCCGACTCACGGTGACCTCTCCTTGGATTTCCGAGGCAGTATCACTACAGAAGTAGATTCCCAACCTTCCTTCCGAGGTGTGGCTGGTGGGTTTGAACTGCCAGCCTTCTGGTTAGCAGACAAATGCCTTAGGCACTACGCTACCAGAGCTCCTAGGAACTTTAAAGGGTTCTTTAAACAATATTTAGAAAACTACATAAAAATAAAAAACAGCAAGAACAGAACACTGTTAAAAAATAAGACTTCTTTAAAGTTGGTCACTTCTTGGTACTTTATAAAATGAGCAGATACGTCTCTATAACTCATCATGTTTATATGTAAATTCTCTGGCAGATATAAATCCATCTTTGTCTTCATCTTCTTTATCAAAAATATCCTCCACCAAAACGTCATGATGACTTTCATTCACCACTGCACCATGCTTTTCAAACTCCTTCTTTAAATACACTTTAACCTATAAAATAATGGATTTCATTAATAATTCTGATCCATAAGATAGCCCCATTGACCCAAACAATATCACAAACATATGAACTAGTAAGTAACTATACATATATCATTTAAATATATATATATATGGAAGCTCTGGTAGCATAGCGCCTAACGCATTTAACTGCTAACCAGAAGGCTGGTGTTTCAAACACACCAGCCACTCCTCGGAAGGAAGGTTGGGCAATCTACATCCATAGTGATACCACCTCGGAAACCCACAGAGGGGTTGCTATGAGTCAGATCTGACTCCATGACAGTGGGTTTGGTTTTTGATGTTTATATGTTATATGAAAAAGACTACAGAATCAGGATTAGAGGAAGACTTATTAACAACCTGCGATATTCAGATGACATAACTGCTTGCTGAAAGCAAAGAGGACTTGAAGCACTTACTGATAAAGATCAAAGATTACAGTCTTCAGTATGGGTTACAATTCAACATAAAGAAAAAAAATTTTCACAGTTGGACCAGTAAACAACATCATGATAAAAGGAGAAAATATTGAAGTTGTTAAGAATTCTACTTGGATCCACAATCAATGCCCACGAAAGCAGCAGGCAAGAAATTAAATGATGTATTGCATTGGGCAAACCTGCTGCAAAAGATCTTTTTAAAGTCTTAAAGAGCAATGGTGTCAGTTTGAGGACTAAGGATCCAAGCCATAGTATTTTCAATCACCTCATATTCATGCAAAAGCTGGACAATGAATAAGGAAGACTCTGGTAGCATAGTGCCTAAGGCACTTGACTGCTAACCAGAAGGCTGGCGGTTCAAACCCACCAGCCACTCCTCGGAAGGAAGGTTGGGCAATCCTACTTCCGTAGTGATACTGCCTCGGAAACCCAAGGAGGGGTCGCTATGAGTCGGGGCCGACTCGACGGCACTTAACAACAACAACAACAACAAAGAAGAATCAATGCATTTGAATTATGGTACTGGCCGAGAATATTGTACATACCATAGACTGTCATAAGAATAAACATCTTCTCTTGGAAGACGTACAGCCAGAATGCTTCTTAGAATCAAAAATGGCAAGATTTTGTCCACGTACATTGGACATGTTATCAGGAGGGATCAGTCCCTAGAGAAGGGCATCATGCTTGGTAAAGTAGAGGGTCAGGGAAAAAGGGAAGATCCTCAACGAGATGAACTGACACAGGGGCTGCAACGATGGGTTCAAACATAGCCATGGATTGTGACCCCATGGTTCATAACAGCTTAGCTTATTCAAGACTTAATCATCTCCTGGCCATTAGCATTAAACTAATGAGCCCTGGTGGCCCAATGGTAAAACACTTAACTGCTAACCAAAAGGTGGGCAGTTTGAGCCTACCAGCAGCTCTTTGAGGGAAAAGACTTGGAACTCTACTCTCATAAAGATTATAGCCTAGGTAACCCTATGGGGCAGCTCTACTCTGTCACTATGAGTCAGAATCAACTCGATGGCAGAATAACAGCAGAATTAAACTGATTAAGCATGAATGGGAATTCCTTCAACTGGCACACTTTACCAAAACATTAAATCATAAAAGATCTATTTTGAAATATAAAAATCAAGTATCTTTCAGGAAGTTTTCTGGGTCCTGTTAGAATAGCAACTATACTGATTAGAGTCTGCATTGTGGAAAATACAACTTAAATAGGTATTCAGTGGAAACAATATTCATATCTCTCCTTCTAAGTGAGGAAGGGGAGATTGGAAGAGGAGAATTCTTCCCCTATTCTTTAGAACTTTGTCTCCAAAGTGGGAAATCAGTACCCCCAGGGGATAAGAATGTTGCTCTATTGATAAGAGGAAAGGAAAGAATAGAACTTTAATTTGTATTGACTTTCCTTTTATTTAAATTTTTCTACCTTTGTTAATTCTTACTGATGCAAATAATAGTAACACACAAGTATATCTAGTAATAAATTACATACATTTTTACTACCAATAGGGGTAAGTAATCATACCCCTATAGATTAGAGCTAATTGCTACACATAACACTTAAAATTAAGGGAGACTGATAGTTTGCTTTATTTTTTTGGACCAAAAAATTATATATCACTTGATGAAATATAGTTGTTAGGTGCCATTGAGTCAGCTCCGACTCATAGCAGTCCTATGCACAACAGAACAAACGCTTGATCCTGCACCATCCCTATAGCCCTTGCTATGCTTGAAACCACTGCTGCAGGCACTGTGTCAATCTATTTCGTTGAGGGTCTTCCCTTTTTTTGCTGACCCTCTGCCTTACCAAGCATGATATCCTTCTCCAGGGACTAGTCTCTTCTGACACCATGACCAAAGTAGGTGAGATGAAGTCTGGCAGTCCAGGGTATTTTCAGTATTCTTCTTCAACACCACAATTCAAAAGCATCAGCTCTTCTTTGGTCTTCCTTATTCATTGTCCAGCTTTTACACACATATGAGGTGATAGAAAATACCATGGCTTGGATTAGGCACACCTTAGTCTTCAAAGTTAAATCTTTGCTCCATAACACTTTAAAGATGTCTTTTGCAGATTTTCCCTGTACAATACAACATCTGATTTCTTGACTGCTGCTTCCATGAGTGTTGATTGTGGATTCAAGTACAATGAAATCCTTTACAACTTCAATCTTCCTTCCATTTATCATAATGTTGCTTATTGGTCCAGTTGTGAGAATTTTTATATGTCACTTGATGAAATATAGTTAGCAAGTCTAAAGGAAGCACATATCTCAGATGAAATCTTACCATGATTAGGATGACACTCCCCAGGCTGTTTTCTACAACTCGCTTATGCATCATTCCTTCTTTCACCACTCAGTTTAACCATTCTCCTCTCCTCTGTACTATCTATAAAATCTTAAAGTGCTTCTATCATGACACCTATCAATCTAAGCTCTATAGGGTACTTAATTGTTTTGTTTCTATTTCCTTTTCTGATTTAGTAGCTCTTTAATGGAAGGTGCTGTTCTTATCCCCCATCCCTGAGTGGCATGCTCCCTATTTTCCCAACAATGTGTAGAAAATCACAGGCACCCCAACATCTTTGAAAGGTCTGGCAAGCCTTTCACTTCACTATGACTCCATCTCTAAACCACAGGAAAGAGTGTTTTCTTTCTTTTGTTTTGAAGGGAAGTCCATGCCATGGAGTCCTTAGGTGGTGAAATGGTTAAAGTGCTCAGCTGGTAACTGAAAGGTTAGAGACTCAAGTCAACCCAGAGGGACCTTGGAATAAAGGCTTGACAATCTACTTCTGAAAATTCAGACACTGAAAGCCCTATGCAGCATAGCTCTACTCTGACACACATGGGGTCACCATGAGTTGGAACTGACTCTACAGCAAACCAGTGTTTTTTTTAAATTCTACTCCAATGATTGTCAAAGCATGGTCTCTTGACCTGGAGCATCAACATTACATGAGGATATGTTAGAAATGCAAATTCCTGGACTGTATTACCGACCTACCAAATCAGAAAAGCTGATGGTAGGATAGGGGGTAGGGGTGAGGGAGAAGGAGACTGGTAGTCTGTGTTTTAACAGGTGATTCTGGGTCACATTTAAATTTGTATTTTTCTGTGGACTATGCCAGGAAGAAGCAACTATGTGACCAAAGGTCTTGATTTGTGACCAGTCAGGCCAGAATGGGAATGTAGGTAGGCAGAAAAACAAAGGGATAAATATCTACCTCACTTCTTTCCCTGTAGCAGTCAGCTACACATGGATATGTAGCAATTGCTGTGGAAGTCCAAACTGTAGGGAGAAACCACTTCCTTTCCTTTATCCAAACCCCCGGACTTTGAGGGGACTAGGAAAGGTCTTCTGCTATGGAAAATCCAGGATGGAGTCTTCTTTTCTAAGTATTAACCTGAACCAAAATGAACATGTCATTTGCTTTCTGTCAATTGCTTGTTGTTGTTGTTGTTATTTGCCGTTGAGTTGAACCCAAATCATAGTGACCCCTCCTTGGGTTTTACTTAGAAGTCACTAAGACATACATTTAGCAGCCAGTTCACAGTTTAAACAAATTGTCCATCCATGTGGTACACTTTTCAAGACATCTATATTCTTTATACACTAACTCCAAAATGGGAAATGTCTTGGCAAAGTGGGTTTTTCAAAAACCAAGGGCAAGATATAGGGAGCCACAAACATTGGTGAAAACCTGGTAGTGTGACGGTATAGCCCTTGGCTGCTAAGCTAAAGGTTGGCAGTTCAAACCTACCCAGCGGCTCCATGGGGGAAAGATGTGGCAACCTGCTCCCACAAAGATTATAACCCAAAAAACTACTATGGAGGAGTTCTACTCTGTCCATGGGGTGGCTGTGAGTTGAAAATTGACTTGACAGCACCTAACAACAAGCAGCATTGGGAAGAAAGAAAAAAAGTAAAAGGCTGATTTTTAAAAGTCTACAAAACAATGATTTTGTATGAAAACCTCAACCTTCAAAGCATCAGTATTTTAAGAAAACTTATAAATAGCATTTTATCTAAATCAAAAGAAATTTTCTTTAACAATATATTTCTAAAAAATGAGCGACCAAGAAAAGAGGAGGAAAATGGGAAGGTCACCTCATTTTTAGAGAGTTTCCAGTCATCATTAAGATCCATTTCTTGAAATGATTCATGAGATCTTGGTCCATTTCGAATCTCCAGGAGATCAATGTTGAAAATCAATGTACTCTCTGGGGGAATTTTACCTGACATGGAGAGGGGTGGAAAGTTGTATTAAAAAGATCCAAAAATTTTAAGGATTATAAAACTTACGATACTGGATAAATATTCTTTTAACTGTATTAAATGAAGAGCCTTCCCAAGATTATTTCACATGAAGAAATTATTTGTATTATAATTGCATTTTACTCAACTAAATAGTTGGAGGCTCAAATCTACCCAGAGGCACCTTGGAAGAAAGACTGGAAGATATACTTCTGAATAAGCAGCCAATGAAAGCCTTTTGGAGCACAGTTCTCTGACACACATGGGGTTGTCGTGAGTCAAAATTCCTACAAGAAATAATGAAGTCTAGTAAATAAAAAAAGGAAATAATTTTGGCTTTGAAATTAACAAAATACATAGACACAGACGTGCCTAATGGCCAAGGTTTTAAATTTCAAATATAATTAAGATATTCCAAAATAAGACCCATTGTTGTCAAGTTAATTCCGATTCATAGTGACCCTACAGGACAGAGTAGAACTGCCTTACAGAGTTTCTAACAAAGTAAATCTTTATGGAAGCAGACTGCCTTATCTTTCTCCTGAGGTGCTGCTGGTTGGCTCAAATCACTGACTTGTTGGTTAGCAGCCAAGCACTTAACCACCGTACCACTAAACCAAAAACCAAAAAAAAAAACAAAAAAAAAAAAACTAAACTAGAGCTCCTTAAAACATAGTGACTTTTAAGAATTTTCAAATTCTCATTGAATCTAGGCTTTTTAAAGCCAGTGAGGCCAGATGACAACAATACTATTACACTGAGGAAATCTCTGAACCTTGAACCAAAACTATCCCCCCTAAAGTCATCTTTGAACCAAATAACAGTTTAACCTAATTAGAAAAGAATGTCTGCATTGAGCATTATATTCTTTTAATGAATTTCTATGTGTGATCTAATTGACAACAGCAACTCAAATGGATCAAATTCTTAGGGGGGCACTGAATTTGTGTTAATGATAGTAAAGATTGTCAAAAAAGGTGGCACTTGAGGGATGTAACCAATGTCACTGATTTACACATGTAGAAATTGTTGAAGTGGTGATGTTTTCTGGTATCTGTTTTCATAAACAACAAAAAAAATACCTTCTAAAATTGACATAGTGTTTTAGCTAATTCAGAATTAATTATATATAAAATGATTTATTAACTTTCAAGTCAAAAAGTCCTGACTTAGAAATAAATGTAAAACTGCCATTTTCTACTACTCCAAATAAATAAATAAATAAAACTCACTGCCATCAAGTCGATTCCAACTCACAGCGACTCCCTTTGGGTTTCTGAGGCGGTAAATCTTTACAGAAGTAAATTGCCCAGTCTTCGTTCTGCGGAGTGGCTGGTGGATGTGAACCACCAACCTTCTGGTTAGACTATGCCACCAGAGCTCCTTCATTTCTACACTAAGAGGCAGTATATCACTAAGCTCAGGTGACATACTGTTTGCAATTGATGCTTATGTCTGCCCCAGTCTAAGTCTCAATTTCCTCCTCTGTAGAATGCAGGTAATATTGCCCCACCTTATGGGACTGTTAGGAGGATGAAGGGCCATGATCTGCGACAAACTGTTGTTAGGTGCTGTCGGGCAGGCTCCGACTCATAGTGACCCTATGTACAACAGAACAAAACACTGCCCTGTCCTGTGCCAGCCTCACGGTCCTTAGTATTACGCGTGATTAAAAAAAAATAAGTGATTGGTAAAGGTTACTTAGATATAATAATTTTCTTATAAGCTTTAAAAACAATGCAAGAATTTCAAACAGTTAAGAAATATCTCCTCTGATGCATAACATTTTACACATGGTGACCAAATTTCATGGGAATTGGGGTGAGGAGAAATTAAAATGAATTTCTGAGAAAGGAGATAAAAATCTTTGAAAATGAAAAGAGCTTTATTAAGTCCCAAAGATCTTAAAACAAAAGAGAAAATCCACAACTTTCTGGAAGTACAGTTTGTATCAAGTTTTTTTCCTTATAGCCATATTTAACATGCAGTTTTGATTTAAACATTACTAAATATTTCCAAGAAAGAGCATTTGTAAGTTTCAAAGAGAACAACACTTACACTGTGTGCTGAAGCTTAGCATTCCACACATAGAGACACAGAAGGGGCATGCACTAGATCTTGGATAACATGGGTATCGTTCCAAAGAAGGCATGCAAGCATGGTACTAAAAACTACAAAATTAGTGTTAAATACATAGTAGAAGAAGTAGTTTCATGACACTTAGTTTGAAGGAAATGACTCAAACTTAGATCTCCACTTCTTATATAGTAAAATTACAGTACAGAGAAAGAGTAATGAGCTAGTACTATGCATAGATATTAAAGATGAGACAATGAAGATATGGCAACATTAAAGAATACTTTTAAGCACCAGGGAAACATTTTCTAGATCCCTGATTTTTCTTCTCTACAGATGATTGTAATTAAAATAAGAATTGAAGTTGCTTAGTAAATCCCTTTCTGTGTAGAAGATTTATATGACAAGTTCCATTTTAGACTATACAATCCACCCACTGCCATTGAGTTGATTCTGACTCATATTGACTCCCATTGGGTTTCTAAGGCTGTAAATCTTTACGGAGGTAGATTGCCTCATCTTCCTCCCGTGGAGGGGCTGGTGGGTTTAAACCTCCAACCTCCTTGTTAGCAGCCAAATGCCTTACCCATTGCACCACCAGAGCTCCTTTAGACTATATAGTGCTTTATATATGGCACTTTGTTTTTCATTCTCAGGAAACTGGGGATAGGAATCCTTATCCTCATTTATAAATGTTAAGGATAAACAAACCAAGCCCACTGCCATTAAGTTGATTCCAACTCCTAGCAACCCTACAGGACAGAGTAGAACTGCCCCAAGGCTGTAAATCTTTATGGGAGCAGACTGCCTCATCTTTCTCCCATGGAGCAGCTGGTGGGTTCACATCACAGATCTTTTGGTTAGCAGTGGAATGCTTTAACCACTCTGTTACCAGAGTTCCTTATGGTAAGGTCAGACCCAATATTTATACTATATTCATGGTTCCCTGTGTGATGACTACTTAAAGACACACACACACACACACACATACACTCTTCTTTACTGTATAAGTAATACATACTCATTGTTTGAAAATATAGCAAAGACAGAACCAGAAATAAAAATAATGCCCGGTCCCACAACTCAATAAATATTCTAATTTATTTCTTTGTGATTTACTTTCTGTGTGCATATACTTTTTTCCAACACTTAGCACCATGGTAGATATATGATAGCTATATTTTCTAGTTGCATTTATAACATTATATTATGCATTTTTATATGCAATTTTTAAAATGTTTGAGGATTCCATTTTTAATAACTGGGCCATATTTTATTTAGCTAAATTTTTTTTTTTAATTTTTATTGTGATTTGGGTGAAAGTTTACAGAGAAAATTCATTTTCCATACAGCAGCTCACATACACTTTGTCTCATGACATTGACTGCAATTCCCACAATGCAACAGCTCTCTTCCCACTTCCTCCCCATAGTTACCTCTTCCTTGTGTCCTTCCCTCCCATTCACTCCTGCCCCACTCCCCAGCTGTTTCCTTGTGCATACACAGCCCTTCTCTCATGACTGATCTTTCCAAGGAGTATATCTACCTAATGTAAGTGTTCAGCTCATATGCCTGTCTTTTGTTTGGCTGGAAGCCACAGGAGTGGGTTCAATTCAGACCTGAAGGTCAGCTAGGGGCCATAGTCTCAGGGGTTCTACCAGGCTCTTTCAGACCAGCAAACCCGGTCCCCCCCTTTTTTTTATGATTTTGAATTTTGTTCCACATTGTTCTCCCACTCTATCCAGGATCTTCTACATAGATCCTTCTCCAAGTGGTTGACAGTGGTAGCCAGGCAACATCTAGTCCTTCTGGTCTCATAGTCATAGAGGCTGAGGATCACATGGTGTACCAGTCCCTTGGACTAATTGTGTTCATTTATTTAGCTAAATTATTGTTATACATTGATTTTAATTTTTTTGCTATTGGAAACAATGCAGTGATAGACATCTCTGTTCAGAAATCTTTCTCTTGATAATGGAATTGTTTCCCTGCGTTGAAATTCAATAAAGGAACTATAGGTTAATAGTATGTAAACATTTTTAGGCCCCTTGATACATATCACAAAACAGCCCTCTGGAAAGTTGCATGGTTCTTGGTCAGTGTCAGGTGCATATGTTTGCTTTGCGACTGGCACTATCAGAGACTCTCCAAACCACTTGCTTCTGCTTCGTGGCGCAGGGTAAACCAAACCATCTTATGTCACACATTATTTTTTTTAAATAAATCATCAAAAGCTTTATAAATAAACTTTAAAATAAAAGCGAAAAGAACCCTGAAAAAAACTTTGGTATTGGAACCTACAGTTAGTTGCAAGCCAGTCTCGGGGAGTCCAGATCTAAAACTGCATTTAATGCCTTAATAACCTGTATTTCAAATGCTCACCTTAAGACATTTATGCTGAATAATTTTTTTTTTTTTTTTTTTGGTATATATTGTTAAAACAAATAGGTGAACATCAGTAGAGTTCCAGAACCTTTTTACAGTGCTAGCTCAGTGGCCAATTTAGATGTTATTTTACTTTATTTCAACAGGCCATTTAAAATGATAATCAAGATATGATTATATTCCCCAAAGGAATGCAAGAAGTTAGTAGTTACACTAACATCTATCTCCTAATCCAGAGATGAACTCTAGTGCAAAGGTAAGAAATGTGAAAGTGTTCTTACCTTTTCCTTCTTTTCCATAGCCAAGGGCAGGTGGAATGATGAGCTTTCTCTTCTCTCCCACACACATTCCCCTCAAGCCTTGGTCCCAACCTTTGAGAGCCTCCAGAATGCCCAGGGTAAACCAAATGGGCTGACCATTATTATGTTTGTGACTGTGATAGAAAACATATTGGAACGCTTTAATAACTTTATCTTTTATTGCTATGGAACATTTTTCCCACCCAGAAGTAGTTATCCATTTGGAAGTTAATAAAAAACAACTATTCTTTATTTGTATACATACAAGTCAACTTTACACTAATTCAATTGACTGCTCATCTTTTTTGATACAAATTTCACACAGTTCACTCAGCTAGAGAAGGGCAGAGAGAATAATAATAAAAGCAATTAACAATTGTTTGAGCATTTACTATATACCAGGTATTATCATACTAAGTGCTTTGCCTCTTTTAATACTACAATGATCCTACAAGTAAGCATCATGATTATTGTACAGAAGAGGAAACAGAGGTTAAACGTGCCAGTATTTGACCTTGAATATACCTAACTCCAAAAACTCTAGTTGTACCCACAGTGACACCATCCCAGGAAAACCACTACAGTATTCAACTCACTGCTGTCAAGCCGATTCCAACTCACAGCATTCCTATTGGACAGAGTAGAACTGCCCCCATAGGGTTTCCAAGGCTGTAATTTCTGGTAGTGCAGTGGATATGGAATTTGGCTGCTAACCAAAAGGTTGGCGGTTCAAACCCACCAGATGCTCCATGGAGGAGGAATTGACTCGATGACAATGTGTTTTGTTTTGTTTTAATGTTTATGGAAGCAGACTGCCACATCTCTCTCCTATGGAGAAGCTGGTGGGTTGGAACTACCAACCCTTTCATTATTACCCAAATGCTTAACCACTACACTATACCACCAGGGATTGTTACTAGGGTAGGGAAGAGGCAAAATATAATGGAAAATGGATTACTCTAGGAAGAGGAATAAGAACTAAGGAGAATTTACTATTAACACACATGGATCCATATGTGTATAGATATCAGGGCATCAGAAGCAGTGTCTTATATTCCATCTACAAGTTTTCCTTATTTATAGCCTGCCCACGGCTCCAATGGGTGGAAAGGGCTGCCCTTCACTCCTGAATCCCCATGCAGACCCTGGCCCACTTCTTTCCCCAGGGGTCTACTGGGGGGGTCTGCAGGGAAACTTGGAGAAGTGGGCCCTCAGTGTCAAGGTAGGAAGGGAAGGTTAAGATACCCTGGCTTACGAGCTGAAGAGATGTCAGGCTAAGAAAATCACACTGTTAGTTACCAGGTGATGTCTTAGTTTTTAATACTACTATAACAGAAATATCATAAGTGGGTGGCTTTAATGGACACAAATTTATTTTCTCACAGTTTAGGAAGCTAGAAGTCCGATATCAGGGCCCCAGCTCAAGGGAAGGCTCTCTCTGTCCGCTCTGGGTAAAATTCTTTTCTCAGCTTCTCCTTGGTGATCTCCATGTGGCATCTATGTGTTCCCCTTTGTGCTTGCTTGTCTCTGTCTTCACTGTTCTTTTTATCTTTAATTAGGCCTCATATACACCCTACACTGATATGTCCTCATTAACATAAAAAAGAAAACCCTATTTCTAAGGGGGATTACATCCACTCACTCTACTCACTCACTCACATGGGGGTTAGGATTCCAACACATATTTTGGGGGGATATAATTCAATCCATAACAGGGGTTATGAGGCTCAGTACTGTCTGAGCTTGTTAGCTCTCTTTTTGTGCAATAAGCTGCTCTGTTCTTACCTGTCTTGTAGGTAAGAGTGAGCAATCACTCTACTGAGCTTCCCAGGTATCATAGTTACTAAATCTAGGTAATGACATTTTCCTTCTCTCTCTTTCTATTTGGGTGTATGTACATGTGTTTAATTTTCCCCCATGAACAAAGTAATAAATTTGGGAAGAATAAAGCAGGAAGAAAATAATCTGCCACCCAGCACTGACTACAGTTGTGAAACATTTCTTGTCAAGGCTAAAAGATTGAAGCTGGAACTTCTATAGACTATGGTTCTAGAAATGCCCTATGTGCTTTATACACTCTTTATAAACAAATCTTTTGATGGTATTTCTTCATAATTAAAAAAAAAAAACCACCAAACTCACTGCTGTCAAGTTGTTTCAAACTCATAGCAACCCCTCCTTGGGTTTCCGAGGTGGTATCTCTATGGAAGTAGATCCCCCAATCTTCCTTCCAAGGAGTGGCTGGTGGGTTTGAACTGCCAGCCTTCTGGTTAGCGGTCAAATGCCTTAGGCACTACACCACCACAGTTATCAGCTCCTGACCATTTTACACAGAGTTTCCATCACACCAGTCACCTCATTGGGTACTAGAACTTTAGTAGCAAACAACAAAATAATGTCCCATGGTGTCTACCAAAATTGGCACAAATTTTAATTCTGAGACTTCTAAGAAATCAGGCTGGGTCTAAAGAGATCAAACTATAACTACGAAGTTAAGTGAAAATTAGAAATGCAGATATTGTTTAGTGCCCATTGTAGCACTGGCCTTGGTGATAAAAAGGAAATTTCAAAGGAGGGTTGAGAATTCTATGGCAGTCCTTCTTTTTGAAACATTTTGCCAGGGCTGCTTTCTACTCCTGCTGTTAAAAGAATTCAGAGAAGAGTGCCATTCACTTCCCTAGAACTCCATGACAGACCAGGTCTGAATGCCCCATAGAGGTAGTTCATCAGAAAATGAGGTCTAGGATGGGACACTGCTATAGTTCACGCCATTCCCTCTACCTAGGATATCCTCCCTCTCCCAGCATCCACCTGGGAGCCCCTTCCCACCTTTCAAGGCCCAATTCAACTACAGTCTTTGTGAAGTCTTCCTTTCTCTATCTCCCAAAGCACAACTAATCCCAGGCTTCATTATGCTTTGCTGGCACATTGTCCCTTCCATACTTTATATCATGAGTTATTACTTGACTTGCTCCCTCCCCCTGTGTACTGTATGTTGCTAGATGACAAGGACCTACTTTTAGTGATCTTTGCCTCCCTAAGGCCTAACACCATGGTTGGAAAGATGGCTGGATAAATAAATGGATGCGGATGGACAGATGCAAAGTTTTTGAATCTGTCTAGTACTCAGAAAGGACCTAACATAAAGAAAATGCTCAATAAATACTTTTGGAATGGAGTGAACTGAAGTAATGCCTGATTGGAAATCATTACACTTGTAACCTTTCCATGTTGCGATTTCCTTGTTTACAGAATAGAAATAATGATAATGTAACCACTCGAAAATTTCTCACTGTAGGTACTGGATTTCCTTTCCACAACCATACCCATCAATGAAGTTTTTGAATTCTATAAAGAAGCATATATCACTATTAAAAATTATGGTAAAATGCTTTGATCTAAATGCCATCTATCAGAATGGAAGTTAATAGATCAATGGAGTATCATTAGCATATCCTTCAAGAGGCAAATAAATGATTGTGTATTTTGCTCATAAAGTTGCTATGAAAAGTTTGAGGTAAATATCTATGCCAAATAAAAAATGGAATTGAGTAATTTTCCCTAAGGAATGGAGTTTGAGATATGAGAATTCTTTTAAGCTTTTCCTATTTATTGCCTAATTATAACTTCGATATTTCTGCAGTGTTTCAAAGCTTCTAGTTTTAATTTTTATGATTAAAAAATTAACAGGTTTATCCGGACCACATGTTCCAATAAGACCTATCAAGGCCTCATCCTGTAAGACTGGCTTTAAATAATTTCCTTTCCTCAAAGAAGTAAAAAAAGATATTCAGCATGTTTTTTAAGAGGTTAAATCAGGTACCCGCAATCTTTCTTGCATGAGAGCTGGATGGCATAAGAGAGCGAGTTCTTTATTCTTTCACCTGTGGGTTAATTACTTACGTGGAGTGAAATAAGGAGCCGTCCTTTTCTAAGTAGCCTTCATAATGGACCAACATTAAGTCTCCCCCTTTGGTCTTGCGATGGCAGATGAACGGCTTCTGGAGAACTTCAATCTTGACTTTTGGTTCAGGGATCAGAGCCCCACTCAAAGAAGTGACTAACAGTGTCAGGACAGTGTTCCACGCGAAAAGCTTCATGTTAGTAGGGCAGAAAAGAGTGCCTACAAAAACAGGGAAAAGACTCCTGAGTTCAAAGAGTTAAGAATGTGGCTTAAGGCTTAGGGGCAACTGTTTCTGGCAACTTCATGACTCCCCCTCCCTAGCAGACGTGGCACTTTTACTACACACAACTTTCCCAGGCACTGCAAACTCACCTCTAAAGAGTTAAATCAAGACCAAGGCCTAAGTGGCTCTTACACTGTGGCCGCCTGGACAGAGAGTCCTCCCATTGGCCAGCGGTCTTGTCCCTCAGGTGCCTCTCGAGCCAATGGCGCCGCAACATTGTAATTGGCAGCCCAGTGGAGCTCTGTCAAGCCAGCCCCGCGGACGAAAACATTGAGTGGTCCTGAAGCTCGATGCATTAGAGAATTCCACATCCCTGGAATTTGGGAGCGTGGTGAAGCTAACCGGAAACTCCTCCGGCCGATTTACCCTGTTAAGAACCAGGATAGAGCGAAGTTAGGAAGTGTCCTAGACCTAATAAAACCCTTGGTGAAACTCTAGCCCTTGGTGAATCGCCCTCATTCCCCGCCTCCCAGAATTCCACATCCAAGGCTCCTGCTACTGCTTATTAATTAAATTACAGTATAAACTATAAAGACTTTCATAGTGCTTTAGGGTTTACAAAGCGCGTTCCCGTGCGTGAACCTCAGTCCAACTAGCCAGGTAGGTTTCTGTTTTTAAATTTCATTCTAAAGATCATTTAGGCTAGGAGTTTTTCAACCCCAAAGCAGTTGAGATCTGACTTCAAGTCTTCTGATTCATTCCACGACTTAACTTTACAGCTGCTAATAATTTATCACTTAGATGACCTTAGTGTAGCAGTGTAGCGTGCAAATAATACAGAGAGTCGCCTCTTTCGAGGGTAAGGGCTTTGCTTTATAGAGGAAATGGTAATCACTGTTAACAATTACATATTCTCTTGCTAATTTTTAAATTCCAGTTTTACATTTTTCGCTTAATTTCAAAAGCAATATGTTCATTACACTCAATTTGGAAAAAACTGGTAAGGACTAAAGTAGGAGTTCCAGATAAAATACAGGAGTCCAGTTATATCTGAATTTCAGATAAACAGCGAATAATTGCCCCTTGTTTTATTTGTTAAATCTGGCAAACATCCTTTTTTTTTTTTTTTTTTTTTGGTGATTCGGGTGAAAATTCACAGAGCAAATACACTTTCCATACAGCAGTTCACATACTCTTAAAAAAAAAAAAAAGGAACGGAGAGAGAAAAAGATCATCTGTAATACTTCCATCCACAAATAATCCTCTTAACATTTTGGTGCATGCTTCTGTGATTTATGTCTAAAGCAATTTGGATCATATTGTACACTTTGTTTCATAACTTGCTTTCTCCATTTAAACTATAGTTAACATTTTCCCAGGTCAAATATTCTGAGCACAGTTCTTCTCACAGTTTAATGTGCACAGAAATCCCCTGATGATCTTGTTAAAATGCAGATTATAATTCAGCAGATATAGGAATCTCATGGGGATCTTGTTAAAAATGTAGATTCTGATTCAGCACGTCTGGGCTGGGGGCAAGATTCTGCATTCTAACAAACTCTCACTAATTTTACTCGATTAACGAAGCCTTAGAATTTAGACATCTATTTACACAGTATCCTATCGTGAAATCCCCATAATCTCCGTTCCCCCGAGGATGTGGGATCCAATACGAAGCATTGAAGAAAGTATTGGATGCTGAGGACTAGAGCCCAGTGGGTACAGATAGGTCGCAGATACTGGAAAATGGGGTCTGAACCATCTATGGCACCATTAAGATTCAAAGCTGTGTCCCACGCTTCTTTCCAGGAGCATTTTGTCCTTCTTTCTCCCTCAGAGCGGACTCTCTAGCCCAAAACCCACCGCTTCTCCTGGACTCAGTTTCCCTGCGGGCTTAGCCGGCTACGTCAGCTCCGCCGCCGCCGCCGCCGCCGCCGCCGCCGCAGCGAAACCACGGAGTGGATTTTAGGAACGAGCGCGCGAGCAGCGCACTGGGCATGCGCGAGCGTGCTCTGGGCACGGAGGGCTCAGGTATCGCGGCGGAGGCCCTGCCGGCTGTCGACTCCCTCGGTTGTCGCACTTTTGTAGGCTTAGCCGTTCCGCGGACTAACCTGGTATCTTCGCCTCTCTGTGAACAGCGTGCTTTGCGTGTCGCGCGAGCCCGCCGGCTGGCCGCGTCCTCAAGTGCGGAGGCCGCCGCAGTGACCCCGCCCCCGGGCCGAGGATGTGAGGCCGGCGGGACGTCCCCGGACCGGACCAGGGCACGGGCAGTGGGCGTCTCGGCAGCGCCAGGCTATGGCTCTGCTGCCGGTGCTCCTCGCCTCCTGGGGCCTGGGGCAGTAAGAGGACCGGGAGACGTGGGGAAGCGGCCCTGGCTTTGTGGGGGCAAAGGGGCTGCGAGCGCCATGGAGGGAGTGCTGTACAAATGGACCAACTATCTGAGCGGTGAGTGGCCTCGCCGCGGGCCGCGCGGACGGCCGGGGGGCGCGCCGGGGGCCGGGTCCTTTGTCTGGGCGGTCGGAGGGCGGTGTCTCTGCGGGCGGCGTCCGGACACGCCTCCTCGGGGTTCGGGGTCACTGCCCCTCCGGAGATCATAGAGTCCAGCGCAGACCGGGAATATTTCCCAAAAAGAGTTTTTTCACTGTACTGATAACCCTGCTGTACGGACACAGGCCTCTTGAGGATGGGTGAGAACAGTAGCTACCCTTTCACTTCAAGGAAGGCTACAAAAAACTGAGATTTGGGGTGACTTGAATGGCAGGATGACCTCCGTGTCAGCGAGAGGAAGGCGCTCACGCCCCGCCGGCTCTTAAAGAGAGTCATTCGAATGCGGCTGGAGGAACCAGGCTCGCTTGACTCGCAGATAGGTTGGAAGGTTTCAAGCAAGCGCATGCCATCGGTAATCTGGAAGTCCAGAGGTGAAAGAGCCTTCATTTAATTAAAAAAAAAAAAAAAAAGAAAAATAAATTACCCAGATAAACCTAAAAACACTGAGAATACACAAAATAATATGAATGCAGAAAAAAAGCCTGAGTGCATATGCTTTCCCTGTGTTACCTTTCGCTTTAACTGCATGTAGACCGAGGTGTCAGAGTGACAACTTAACAGTTTCAAAGCCCCGAAGTAAGGACAGTGTATTTGGTTTTCTCACAGAGCATTTCTTTTTGTTTTACAGACTCAAAAATTACCGTAGAGTGAATGCAAATAGTACACCTGTTTCCTTGCTTTGCTTTGCTATGCAGAATGGCTTAAAAATAGTCTCTCTTCCTCATTTCAATTTCTGTACTTTCTTCCTATCTTGAGGCAGTTATAACATAATTGTTCTTAAACTGTGGAGATTATTCAGGATATTCTTTCTTTTCCCTCACTTGTGCAACCAATATTAAGTAGAAGTGTACTGTGTGCAGCAGTGTTGGTGGTGTAGTGGTTAAAGCATTCAGCTGCCAACCAAAAGAGGTCAGTGGTTGGAACCCACCAGCTGCCCAGAGGGAGGAAGATGATGCAGTCTAATTCTGCAAAGATTTACAGCCTTGCAAACCCTGTGGGCAGTTCTACTCGGTCCTATAGGGTAACTGAGTCAGAATCCACTCAGTGGCAATGGGTTTGGTTTTTTGGGTATATGCCGGAACAAAGAGCGTGGGTGGCACAAGCACTTTGCAATTGGCTGCTGACCTAAAGGGTGGCAGAACTCACTAGTGACTCCAGGGAAGAAAGGCCTGGCAGTTGTTTCCATAAAGATTACAGCCAAGAAAATTCTGTGGAACCCTTCTACTCTGTAAAACCTGGGGTCACCATGAGTGAGGGCTGACTTGATGGCAGCTACATTAACAATATGCTGGAAGGAGTCCCTGGGTGGTGCAAACAAGTAACACAGTTGGCTGCTGACCTTAAGGTTGGAGGTTCGAGTCCACTCACGGACATCTCAGAAGAAAGCCTTGGCAATATTCTGAAAAGTCAGCCAATGAAAACCCCATACAGCAGACCTTCTCTGGCACACATAGGGTTGCCATGAGTTGCCACATAACCGAAAACAAATTTTTGGTTATGTGCTAGAAACTATATTAGGCACTTTTTTGGAATTAAAAAAATAAAACTTTTTTATTATGGAAAATGGGCTAGGCACTTTAAAGTTTAGTGGCAGTGATTTTGAAACCAGAAATATTTCTAGTATCTCAGTCAGGAGATATATTTGTTTCCTCTTTGATGGGACAGTGCTTTAAAGGTTGTAAGAGCTCTGGTAGTACAGTGGTTAAAGCATTTGGCTGCTAACCAGAAGGTTGGTGGTTCTAATCTACCAGCTGCTCCATGAGAGAATGATGAGGCAGTCAACTTCTGTGAAGATTTACAGCCCTGGAAACCCTGTGGGGCAGTTCTACTCTGTTTTATAGGGTTGCTATGAGTCGGGATTAACTTGATGGCAGTGGGTGGTGGGTAGTGTGATGATGCTCTGGAGTGTTTTAAGGGTGGGTGTGTTTGGGATGATCACTTGGTATAATACACAACACAGCCAAAAGGAGCACCTGTTCGGTGTACCCACAGAATTCCTTCCCTAGACACTATGGCACTAAAGCTACCAGTTTGTTTTGGTTGCATAGAATTATGGTTAACAGGGAATTCCTCTTTTTATGTCTTGTAATCATTAACTAGGTGAGGAGAAAAGTTTTAGAAGACTCTGCTTTTATTTCAAGGACTGAGGGTTATTAGATTAAATGTGAGTAACTCAAGGTTGGGCTTTAGTGAATAGCCAGGAAAAAAAAAAACAAACTTACTGCCATCAAGTTGATTCCAATTCATAGAGACCCCCATAGGGTTTCCAAGGAGCTCTGGTAGTGTAGTGCCTAAGGCACTTGACTGCTAACCAGAAGGCTGGCGGTTCAAACCCACTGGCCATTCCTCAGAAGGAAGGTTGGGCAATCTACTTCTGTAGTGATACCGCCTCGGAAACCCAAGGAGGGGTCACTATGAGTTGGATCTGACTCAACAGCACATAACAACATCAGGGTTTCCAAGGATATAAATCTTTACAGAAGCAGACTACCTCATCTTTCTCCCACAGAGCAGCTGGTCGGTTCAAACTGGTAACCTTTTGCTTTACACCACTATACCACCAGAGCTCTTTAGTGAATAGCCAGAGGCCGATAAATACTCTGCTAATATATTCTGCTGGTTCAAACCCACCATCTACTCCATGGAAGGAAGATGGGGCAATCTATTTCCATAAAGATTCACTGCCTTGGAAACCCAGTGGGGTCACTGAGTTGGAATCGGCTTGATGGAGTGAGTTTGGTTTTTTAATATAAAAAGAGGAGGCTTGACCAGATGATTTTTCTTTTGAGGTCTCTCTAAGCTCTGAGACTTATGGATCTTGTATCTTTGAGTAATACTTACTTGCTGATCCTTTACCTCTTTGTACCACACATACTTTTTCTATTTTAACTTTTCTTTCATCCTCATTGCTCCACCCCCGCCCCCTTTTTGTGTGTTTGTTAATCTTTCACTTTCTTCCAGGGCTTTGAACTGCTTCAGACTGGTTCATTCATGGCCAACAAGGTGAAACTGGAACAGACCTGAATGTTTAAAATTTGAGTGAAGTGGAACCACCACCAAAATGAGAAAAATTACCACTCTAAACTCTAGAGTAGGAGACTTAGAAGGGGCATAGTAAACCCTTTGAAGATGCTCATGTGGGAGATTGGATTATTGTCAGGACTGTGGAGAGGACACATATTCAAAATGGTATGGTCAGCTGCAATTTTTGAGCAGGGCAATGTTGTTTCCAACTGTGTCAGTGAAAAGATTTGGTTGCTATGCAACTCACAAGCTTCCTTTGTTTTCTAAGAGATTAAGTTTCTAGCAGGCTGTCAACCCATAATTTTTCCTTTTCTGATTATCGTCCTGATTCACCTACACATTTTACAAATTTAGGTCCATTCCAGTTTCAGTTCATTGGCTGTGATTGAACCAGGAATAACTGGTTCAAAGCCCAGCTTTCTTCCTCTTTTGCTCTTCTTTTCTATGTGAGATTAGTCTCTTACTCTAGTACCTATTTCCTGGTAATAAAACACCTTTTTTTTGTTTTGTTTTTCTGGCTGTTCTTTTTTTTTTTTTAATTAGGATTTGGGTGAAGATTTACAGAGTAAATTCACTTTTCATACAGCAGTTCACATATACTTTGTCTCATGTCATTGACCAAAATTTACAATGCAGCAGCTCCCCTCCCACTTCCTCCCCATAGTTACCTCCTCCCAGTGTCCATCCCTTCATACTCTTCTGCACCCTGAGCTATCTCCCTGTGCATAAGCAGCCCTTCCTTCTCCCATGATTGTTCTCTCCAGGGCGTGTGTCTACTTGAGGTAAATGTTTAACTCACATGCCTGTATTTTGTTTGGCTGGAAACCACAGTTGTGGGTTCAATTCCAGACCTGAAGGGCTGCTAGGGGCCATAGTCTCAGTGGTTCCACCAGGCTCCATTGGACCAGCAAACCTGGTCCCCACCTTCTTTTTTTTTTTTTTTTTTTTTTGCCTCCAAATGATTTTGAGTTTTGTTCCACATTGTTCTCCCTCTATGCAGGATCTCCTACATCCCTTCCAAGTGCATGGCAGTGGTAGCTGGGCACCATCTAGTTCTTCTGGTCTCATAGTTGTATAGGTTGCAGATTGGATGGTGTACCAGTTGCTAGGACTGATTGTTTCCATTAATTTTGGTTTTCTTCTTTCTTCTTGATGAGGAGAGACCCGTTGTTGCATCTAGATGGCAGCTTCCTAGCTTTTAAGGTCCTAGTCGCTACTCGCCAAAGTAGTAGGTGGAACAATGTTTTGTATAGTATGTTATGTTTCTGACTGTTCTTGTGTATTTTTCAATAAAGCAAAATTTCTCTAGGAGGATCCTTTGGTTCTGTTGGAAAAGATTCCATTTTTTTCTTCGTAAGTAAAAGAAGTTACTACTGTGAGTGGAGCCAAGGTAGAAGCTCTAAAGAAGAGAGGAGCTGGAGTTATTGCTCCAGAGGCCAGTGTTGTCACTAGGGAGGTACAGGGGACTGGGAGTGCAGACCACACACACTGACACTGTCAAAGGGAGTGACAGCAAAATGACCTCAGCGTCTGTAGCAGCGAGCTGGCTAGCACTGCAGGGGTAGGGTCCACGAAGGTAGTGGCCTCACTACAGGTGATATCACCCATCACCCAGTGCAGTAAATTTTCACTCATCCCTACCCCCTGTCAACTCAGCAATCAGGCTGTACGTGGGCAGGCTGTGCTGGAAGGAGCTGCAGAGATCAGCTCAGGCGGGGCAAGCTACCAGCCTTGGCCATGGCGGGTGACACCATAAATTACTGCAGTGGTTGACATCAACCTTAATGATTCCACTGCCAGAGTCAGGTGTCTTTACATCATGCTGCTTGTTCCCTCAGTATGTGTGGCACCACTGGGTACTTTTCTTGGATATA